TCCCGCCGCTGCCCTCGCGGGGGCCAGCGCGGGCGCCGGGGAGCCCCCGCTGGGAATTCCCTTTTATTCCTGTGATTTTAATGGTCTTTGGGCAACTCTGTAACCCCTCCGGTGGCACCGCTGGTGCCTTTTCCTAAGGAAAGAGCGGGGGAAGGAGCAGGGCTGGGGCAGGGGACACCGCAAAGCGGTGGAGCTGCAGGTGTTTCGGTCTTTTACTTTTGCTTTTCTTACAACCGGGGTTCGTATAACCCCACACTGTTGCAGTTAATTATGTGTCAGTCCGGGTGCCCTGGCTCTCTGCTCGGAGCTCTGTTTTTTAAAGTCGTTTTTACCTGTTTTTGGTCACTTACAAAGCTGTGATGCTGTCTTGTGTTTCGCCCCAATTTTCCCCTTCTTGCCCGTGTGTAATACAGTTAACCATGAAAAGTAATTAAGTGGAAAATGTGACTTGTTGAGAGTACTTTAATTAATGTCCCGAAATTGTTGTTCATGAAACTCTCCTATGGAAAAAACAGCTGATCCCAAAACTTGGACACGCTGCTCGTCTCTCCCGGGAGCAGGACTAAACACCGTGTGTCATCGGTAATTTGCCCTCTTATTTCTTCCTGTTGATGGTGATAAACAGACGAGGTGTCTGTCTGACCAGGGAGAGCCGCCTTGCTCGAAATAACCTGATAATCCTGGTATCTTTAGCAGCACTTGGAGTGACCGCTCCGAGCGGGAGCCCGTGGCAGGGAGGTAAATTCCTGGTCTGCTTTTTTCAGGTGTTAGTCCTCGGCACGAGGCGCTTTTCTCTTTGGGAAACTGGAGCGCAGGAGAGTTTCGTGGCTTTATAAATAGGTGCCCGTGTTTGACTATTTCTGTAGCTCTGGAGGTTGGTGATCTTGTTTGATTTGCTGCTTTATTCCCTGGAAAGAATAATCCTCTTCTGAGAAGTCTTGTTTTTGTTCCAGTAAGATGCTCAGGAGCTGGTACACACGTGCACCTCACACTCACTTCCTTTTTCTCCTTTTTCGCAGTATTTGCAAACAGTTTTTAGTTCAGAAAGGAAGGGCTGTGATCGATACTCGTAATGGGTACGTTTAAGGTCCTCATCACCATTTGGAACTGAATGTTCATGCAGTTGAATTTCCTGTTGTATGTTTTGGTGCTAACTTCTTTTTAATTCTGAATATAAATATTTTAAGGGATAAAATAAGATCCTGAGCTATCTGAACAAGCATTTGAAAACCTAGTTATTTTAATTCAGTGTTTGTAGTAGATTTTTTCCCTCTCACGTGGAATGCAATACAAACATAACTTGCTAGTGAGTCTGTGCGCTCCGTGCGACGCTTCAGCTCTTC